TTTTTTTTTTTTTTACATGAAAAACAATTTTTATATTTTACTAATAGACTGGAAAAACACAAGACACTTCAAATAGTGATGCTTCGGAAAAAATTGGGGATGGAATATCGAGTAAAGAAATTACAAATGGTGATACCAGGATAGAAAAGGAAAGTAAAGATCAACGAGAAAAACGGAGTGCATCGAATCAGTTGCATCAGTAAGTTACATATATTTAATTTTTTATATAATAAATAATCAGAAATTTTTATTAAATTTTTATTAAATGTAGTGACAGTTCCGAAAAAGTTAGAAAAAAAGAAGAAAGTAAGGAAAATTCAGAAGGAAAAGATAAACATTTAAAAAAAGATGAAATTAAAGAAGACGATACGATAGATAAAAAAGATCGAAAATATTACAAAGTAATTATATATATTATACAAATTATTATATATTATTTAGATATTTAATAAATAAATTGTTATATTATTAATTTAATTTCAGGAAGAACATTATTACAGCAGTGGTGTAGATAATTTAGATCGTGATCTTTCTAGTGTATCAAATAGTAGTGCTAGTTCTGGACCAACACAAGATGGATCAGATAGAGGTTTGCATTAAGAAACTGTAATTTTTGTGGTATTGCAAAATTTAATATTTTTCTAGTATTTTTTAGATAAACTAAAATCGTGTCGAAGAAACGACACAGTATTAAGAAAAATAAAAAATCCATATATTAAACATTTATTTTACATTATAAAGCTAATAATCTCTAATTTCAGATGCCAAAAGAAGAAAAGTTGAAAATGTACAAAAGGTAAAAATTATTAATTTTTAATAAATTTTCCTGTATATATATATATAAAATCCAATTTTTAATTTTAATAGGAAGGAAGACGTTCTGAAGGAAGTCTTGATAAGAAGGAGCGTTCCAGTAAAGGCAAAATAAGGGATGAACAGAAAGAGTTGCGTAGAGAAAAAAAATTCGCACGGAAAAGGGTATATTTCGAATATTTAATGTATTTTAACATTTTTTAATATATATGATTTATATCATTTTTTTTGTGTTAACATAGGATAGAACAGACGAATCAGCGGTTACAACAGAACAAAAAAGAAGAAAAGATGACGAAAAAGGTACGAAATTTTTCTAATAATTTAAAGTATATTTTAAATTATTTTCTTTATATAAATAATAAAAATTGCTTTCAGCAAAAGGAACACATCAAAATGGTGATATTCCCGAACATAGAGAAAAACACCATTACAACAAGGTTAGTAAATTTAATTAAAATTTTTTTATGTATATATTAAGGATATAAAATATTATATATCTTTATTAATATTTTACATACAATCGAATAATTTCGAATATTTTATTCGAATAACATTTAAGTAAATTTTCTAAGGTATTTGTGTATTGTTAGAATGGTCGTCTTAAATATCTGGTACATATATTTTAATCATCAATCAAAAATTAATTCTCATAAATATGTCATTATTTGTCTTTCCCATAAAAAAGATATCCCGTAAAAAATAAAAAAAAATCGCGTAATAATCCCATTAATAAAAATATTCAACAACACATTTTAAAAAAACACACTTTTGTTTCATAAATCCCATAACATTAATTTTACATTTTGTTCCAAACATTCTACCCATAAATTAACTTTTTAATCATTTTTCTAACACTATTCCTTGACCCCTTAGTTGATAAAGACGTCCGCTTCGAGTACATTGAAAAGACGAAATGGGAGACAATAGCAAAGACCAGAAAAACTAGGTGATACTATCAAATACCCAAACGCCAATTGCAGGATAGCATGACATTCAGAAGATTCATATAAGAATATATTTTCAGGAAAAGTCACCCTACACAAAGGAACGTACTCATGAACGAGAGGGGCGCGAAAGCCGGGACAAACAATATCCTTTTATAATACACAAGCATTTAAGAAAATATTACAATAATTAACATAGTAATTAACATGATTGTAAATTAATAATAGCTTTTATTCTTGATTATTTTAAATATATTATTTATGATCCTTAATTCTGAGTACTAGAAGAAGTTCGGATCCCAAACGAAGATGATGTACAACAATAGACAAAATTTGACTTAACATTTTATATACTACGTTTGGTGTTGCATGTAATTAAGGTAGAATTCAAATAATAAAGAAAAAAAGATAGTGAATAATTTGTATATTATATTAACGTCCAATTTTATAAAATAAACTATGTAACAAAAGCACTTTGGTACATGTTCTATTCAGTCTTAAATTTGTATATATAAAATTAAAATTTTATATAATTTATAATAGGAATTATCAATGATCTCAATAAAAATTCATTAATGCATTTGTTTCATTAATTCCCAATTCATTCATAAAAATTAATACATAATTATTTTTATGTAAAAATATGAACATAAATATTATATTATAAAAATTAGATTTATATATTCTTTTTAATTGTTTGTTTTATTTTATTTCTATTAGAAATCTATTATCATAAAGTTCATATTATGGTGAATTATTGATAAAATTATAATAATATTGATCTGCTTTTAAACTTTCTTCTTCTAGACGTTTAAGTCTTAACTTTGCATCTTGAAGAATGTCCTCTGTTGAACTACTTTCACTAATAATTGTATTTATATTAACAGTTTGTGTTGGAATTTCTAAATTAGTTGTTCTCAATGAACGTATTCCTTCTATTTGTTGAGACAACTGAAGAGCCCGTTGCGTTATCTGCTCTATTTTTAATTGCTGATCCTGAATAAGGGCATTTAATTCTTCCTTTTCTTTAGTAAGGATCTCAATTTTATGTTCTTGTTGCATATTGTTTACAAAATCCGTTTGTACTTCCATGTTTTTTAAAAAATGATTAAATGATTCAATTTGAAGTTCTGTCTGTACTCCTTTTTGTTCATGCGTTTTTTTCATATCTTGTTCTAGTTTTTTTTTGTTATTTTGCTCTCTTTGTAATCTATATAAAAAAAGATATAACTATTATAGAATTATTATAAAAACTTAATATAAAATATATGTATACCTATCTGTCTTTTGCAACAATAATCTTTCTTTCAATGCTAATTCCATTTCTTTTTGTAAAATTTGTTTTTCATTAGTTTGTCTTTTTTCTTTCAATAATTTTTCTTTTAAATTCATATTATGCATGACATTCTATAAAATTAAAAAATTTATTGATTAAAAAAAGTGATATTGTTTCATTTTCATTTACTTAATTATGAAATAAAAATTAGTATTACTTGAACTTGATGTAATTTTGTATTCAATGCTTCAAGTTGTTGCTCAATAAATAATGTTTGTTGTTTTAATATCATTTCTTTTTCACGTAGCTTGTTATTAACCATTTGCTTATGCACATTTATTTTTTTTTTTAATGCAATTAATTTTTCTATATATAAACTATGAGCTTGCCAAGAAAATTCAGTTTGTGTAGACTCATTACAAAGAGATATTTTTTCTTTTATTGGTATATCATTATGTATATTATAAGAAAACATAGTTATACATTTTAATATACATAAAAGAAGAGGCATATCACTTTCTATATAATGTGATATAACATATTGCCCTTTAGAATCACAAGGATTAATACCTAATGTTTCCAAAGCATGTAATATATAATCACTTTGTAATTTTTCATTATTATCCTCTTCACTGCTATCAGGTCTTTGAACTGTCTTATTAGAAAAATTAATTAATAGTGGTGCTTCACTAGCAAATACTGATAGAGTATATGCATAATTGTGATTAAATAAATATTCTGCTATTAGTAAATCATAAACGTACTGTTTTGCAGATTTGGGACCTTCACTTTTTAAAAAAATATCTTTACTTTTTAACGCATTTATTAAATTTTGACGAAGATGCGTTCTTACATTTGATATTACACCACATTTTTCAAACCTTAAAATATAAATTTAAATAATTAAAAAACTAAATAAATTACATATACATTGATTATAATATATTAACTTATTATATAATATAAATATATTAACTTTTATTTCGAATATATTAAAATATAATATAATATAAATACAAATATAAAATATAATTATTTACGAAACATAACCTTTACTTTCTTTATAATTTTATGATTTTATAAAAATATATTTACCATTTATACAATGTAGAATAATATTCTTGATCCATATTAAATATATACAAAATTTGAAATAATTTTATTAAAGAATTTCTTTTTAAATGTTTCAATTCTTTATTATTTGATAAACAATATTTTATATATATATATATATATTTGTCATATACATTATCAGAAGTGGACAAAAAAATGGCTGTGTAGAGACTTGATGATATACAAGGAGTAATAAAGAGGAAAAACAGTAATATGATGAGATACAGTGAGACAATCTTGTTTCATCTAATATATATTTTATTTATAATAATTAATAAATTTTTTAATCAACATTTTTGTATAATTTTCATATTTGTTTTAACTTTTAAAATTGATTCTTCAAAGGTGTTCCATGGATATAATAGCTATATATATGTATATATATATACTTATATATAACTTAATATATAGCTTATGTAATGTTATCATACTACTTCTGTACTTTCTATACTACTCTTAGATATACAATATATTTTTACAAATATATTTTTTATATTCTTATATGTAGTAAAATTAAATAATATCCGTTTTTAAAGCAAAAAGTAAAATATGTAAAAATATAATACATACATTAGTACATACATACATTAGTAGAGTATATAAAACACAGTATATTAAAAATACAGTACATGAATATACATAGTATATTGTGTATATTATTAATATATATTATAATATATATTATTATACATATAATTAAAGAATAGTTGCTTCTATATTTAATAGAAATATCTTGCATAATTTTAATATTAACTGCTAAATAATATATGATCATAATACAATATATATCATAAAAATAAAAAAAATAGTATTTGAATAATTCATATAATATATATTATGAAAAATAGAAAATAAATACATTTATTCATTGCTTTTGATAATGAATTTTAATAATATACTATATTATAATTTTTTAGAATTTTTATAATTCTCCTAACTTAAAAGATTATAACAATAGAAATAAATTGTAAATAAATTCTCTAAATAATAAGAAATAAATAATAAAATGTTTTCCTAATAATAATCATTAAAAAATTTCTCAAATCCAATATATTTTTAATCTAAATAATACGAAATAAATAATTTACTTAATAATAGTATTTTATAAATAATAGATTGTTTCATTTTATTTTTTGAATTTATAAAAAATATTAAACAAAAATATAAAAAAAATTTCAATTTTTTTTTTGTAGTAATTCATTTATAGGTATACATTGTGTGCTATTTATATAATTTAAATTCATTCAGATTAATATCATGTTTAATATTATTTTCATTGAAAAAAATTTTAATAATTCGATTACAATAGTTCTTTGATTATAAAATAAAAAATAAAAATAATTTTATTCTTTTATCATAGTGATTTATTAAAATAATGGCAATTGCGAAATGCTTATTATAATAATGCTTTATTGTTGATGATCAAAAATTGATGGAAATAATGAAGTAGAAAATATCACAGTGAGATATTATTTTAATGTCTTTCTACATACTATCTATTCTTAATATTCTATTTATTCTTATTTTTATTATTTTATTTTTCAAGAACGTTTAAATGATTTTCTTACTATTCAAGAGAATTTAATTATTTAATTTTCTTACGCCTATTTTCTTTTTGTTTTGTCTGTTTATTAGTTATTAATTTTTTTTCCTCTGAAAATTCATATTTTGCTGCTAGTCGTTCTCTTATAAACAAACCTTGAATTAATCTTTTCCAATTTCCATAAACTCGTTTGTCTTTCTTTTCTTTGGTTCGTTTAACTGCTTCAGCTTGTTCAACTTCCCAAGCTTCTCGCAATGTATCTTCGTATTCAATGCAAACAATATAACCTTCCATTGCAGGTGTTGCACCCATAGATCCAAAATTAAAACCTACTACAGCAGGTGCACAATCAATGTTAAGTTTTCGAGCGATTCGATATAAGCCTGGAACTAAATTGTAATATACATTACATATATTATATATTATTATTATACATTATATATAATTTTAATTTTTATATTATTTATTTCTAATCTTTACATAAGATACAGGAATCATAAATAAGTTATTTTACAAGTAGTTTGTAACTAATAGTATAATCAGATATTCTACAAAAAAGAATGATTCTATAATAAAAAACAAATTGAAAAAAAGAATAGAATTTTTTTATTTAATACTTCGTTTTCTAGAAAATAAATTCTAGTTTTATTTAGCATAATACAATAAGTTAGATTTAAATAAATTTCATTATTTAAAAATTTAATATTGACTATGACAAATTTAACTTTTATTTAACTTTTATTATATTTATTATGGTTTATGATATAATTTTAAGAACTTACGATTTATGTGAACAGTGCCTTTTGGAAGCATGGATGGCTGAAATAAATCTACATTTCCATATTCATTTCGAGGAACAATACCATCCTTAGCTACTGGAGGTTCATATTCCATAGTTTGCCATTTACCAAATAATTCTAATGGTGAATTTTTAATTTTTGTTCCTGAAAGCTATTATAATTAAGTAATTTTAAATGTTTTATTTTTTATGAAATAAATATTTATAAATAACAATATTAAAATAATTATTACTTTATCATATTTTGGACGAGCTGTAACTATTTTATAAGGTTCTTGATCTGCTTTTACAACTCTGCCTTTTCTATACCAAGTTTCCCTTGAATAAAGAGTATGTACACAATGACGAGAATAAATGGCACAACCTGTAGAAGTATATCCTAAAGGTACACAATCAGGAGGATATAATGCTTCAAATTTAAGTAAATGTTTTTGAATGACATACAATGGATGGCCTTTGCATTCACTAATTGTTTTAGGTAATGGTTGTTCTAATTCTCTGAAATATAAATGAAATTTTTCAGGAATGAAAATTATAAAAGAATGAATATAATATTTCTAATAAATTTTGAATACTTTTGTAATAGCATTTCATCTTCAGCTCTAGAAATAGCAGTATCTTTTTCTTTCCAATAAGACAAAGTTTTAAGCCACCATTTTTCATCAACTCGTTGTTTATATGTAACTGTAAGCCAATGTGGACAATAGCGTCTAGACACATCTTTTATTAAATTTTCAGAGTTCCATGCAACTACATATAATACAGGCTTTGTTGTTTTTTTCTAAAATAAAATATTACCATTATCATTATATATTTATAAATATGCATATGAGTTAATAAATTACTTACATATATTTCACTTATGCAATGAATTTTTTCATCCATTACATTTACACAAATCCAACTTTCTTCTGAATCTAAATATATTTCAACCCAAATATCTTGTCTATTTCTTGTATTATTTATTTCTTCATCTTCACTGTCAGAAGATACTAATTTTCTATTATTTTTTTTAATATTCAAAGAACTTTGTGATGCTTCTTCTTTAGTATTATTTAAATCTTTTCTTGTTATACGTTTTATTTTTGGTTCAAATTCTGTTTCAGAATCCGTGGAACTTTCTTTTATATAATATTTTGATTTTGTGCCATCAGTTTTTGAAATTAAATCTGTAGATTTTATTTCTTTATCTTTTTCATTTTCTTTAGAATTAATATGAATTTTACGAGATCTTAATTGTCTTAAATTGGATATATTTTTTTCATTTTCAACTGATTTTAATTCATTTTTCTTTTCTGTGATTTTAGAATTTAATTTTTTAATTAATTTTTTTTCAATTTTGAAATCTTGATTGGTATCGAATTTAGGTTTTTTATTATTATTTTGCAATTTTGAATGTAAAATCTCAGCTGCCCTTTTTCTAGATTCTGCATTAGTATTTTTTTTTGCTTCAGGACTATTTTGAATCACATTTGTTTTTTCAGGAGATTTCTTTTTTTCTTTCTTTTTCTTTGAATTTTCTTGCTTGATTTTATTAGATATATTTTTTGATTTTATTTCTTCATTTTTTACATCAGATTTAAATAATGGGCTATTACTAAAAATTCGATGGGGAGGACAAAGAGAAATAACTAATCTACAATTTAAACCTAAAGCTCTCAATGTAGCAATGTATAGTAAAACTAGTTCTTTATAATTAGAAATTTTCTTTTCTTTCACTATTTTTAACAAAGTTTCTTTATCAATTTTTTTATTAGCATTGCTTTCAACAGATTCAAATGTAAATATATGTTTGAACCATCTTGTAAATTTTTCTAAGTACGATAGATCAATTCTATTTTTTGGATAATTAGATTCAGAAATTAATGATAATACACCAGTCATTATTTCAGGTAAATTTATCTGATGATTCAAATAAAATCCATAAGCTAACCAACAGAGCAATCCTACTTTCTCTATCAATATCTGACTTTCTTTTAATCGTTTTCTCAAAATTGTTTTCAAATCTTGTTTACCTTTCTTTCTTTTATTTATTATTAAATTAGTGCTTGGTAAAGTAATCTTAACACCATCTTTTGGAATAGTATATTCATTAGAAGATTCTGCATCTTCTTCATTTTTTGTTATATTTTCAATGGTATTTTTACAGGATAAACTTATATTACTCTCACCTTGAAGCAAAAGTTCATTTATTTCATTTGATGATGTGATATTTCTTACTTCTTTTACTTTTTGTATCTCTTCTTCATTTTTTTTTGTGAGACAATCTAAATGTGATTGTTCTTTCTCTGTGTTTTTATTGTTGAGTTCAAGTTTTTGTGAATTTTCTAAATTTTTTAAAACTTGAGTGAAGAGTTCAATATTATCTAAATGAGTGATATTCTCAAGTTCCTCGTTATCAGTACTTTCATTTTCAGTATCATCTTTATTTACAATCGTCCCAACATTTGATTTCTTTTTTGTGAAGAAATTGGAATTTAAATTAATTTTATTTGGATCAATCAGATACTCATTACTGCTATCAGAGTCATCTTCTGATAATCCATTCATTTCGAAAATTTCTTAAAATTAAAATTATAAATTAATATATATAATATATCGTTGATACATTGACGGACAAAACTTTCGTCGCAATTTCACTTTATAATGTAGGTTTAAACTAAATATATCATGTATATTATTACAGTTATAAATATTTTATATGTTTTCAAATCATGCTTTCATATATGATATATATAATATATGATCATATAATATATATTCATATATGATAAACTTTCTGTTTATTTAATAAACATATAAAATAGTAAAATGAAGTATTTATATATTTCACATTTATCAAACAGAAACAGACAGACATACAGCAGACAGAGAGAGAGAGAGAGAGAGAGAGAGAGAGAGAGAGAGAGAGAGAGAGAGAGAGAGAAGTAGT